CTTGAAACTTTTTGTTTAGCAAATTCTGTTCCACGTAGCTAAAATTATTAGTCGGGAGAACTAACTTTCATATTGGCTGTTGGAGCGAAATATTTGCTGTTGAAGCTATTTTTTTGGTTGCACCAACTAAATTTCTCAGCTAAAGAAATAACAGCAAACACATGAGCTGTGACAGCTAATCCATTTTTTCCGTGTAAGTTTGCATGACGACAGAAGTATCCAAACGCATTCTTAAAAGTCTACGAAACATTAGCTTCATAACTACGAAAGAAATGAAGGTATTGTGGAATTGCTTCCTATTAAATTGCGAAGAAATTTGCTTCTTCATACGAAGCATTTCTTCGTAGAATTTACCATGCCTTCGTTTCTTCGTATAACGAAACGCTTCTTCGTAGAGTTTTAACTGTGCGTTCCCAACATGGAGTCTTTACCTCCTTGCGTTAACATTGAAGCCGCTTGCAGCTGAAGGAAATCCATTTGCCCGACGATTTTGGAGGCGCAGAGTTCCAATACGCCAACGACATTGCCCTGGTAGAGCTTCTCCAAGAGGTCGACATTACTCCGTATGTGCTGCCCGTGTGCGTGGACTGGGCTCTGGACCTCCCAGACCTGTACCCGGGAGAGTTCGGAACGGTGAGTGTCTCACATTATCTACAGAAAAGGTAACACTCGATGCCCGTCTACCTACACCCTTAGTCAACGAATGAGTACACTGAGAATCAAAACGCTACACTGGTAAAACAAAGGCATAAAAATTACGCCCTTTAGGGCAATACTTTTTTACGCCCTTCCCAAGGGCATAAATCGTTTTATGCCCTTTGGAAGGGCGTAAATGGTGTAGGAATTCCAAACAAAATTTTAATGACCTGCCCAAAGGCATTAACGGCCTTTGTTTCACTAGTGCACGTGCTATATTCATAGCGTTTGGAATCTCAGTGTAAACTCACTGAAACGGTCTCATTACCCGCAGTACCGCTTTTACAGATTGTGGGCTTCGGCAACACACCCGAGCAGTCACTCACCGAGCTGCACTCAGTCAGTTTGCCTGTTGAGCGGAGTTCTGTCTGCAGGAAGCAGGCACCCGAGCTCTTGAATTTCTACTCCACGCAGACGGACAAGTTCTGTGTGGGGTTCGTGAACGGTAAGTCCTGTGTCTACACTGTAGAAACTCTTTAATAAGCGTGGTATGTATTTCACTGGTTTTCGGACAAAGGGATTTCAGTCCACATTCCCATATTCATATGTGAATACCTCAGTAAGAAATGCCATTACTGGTCATCGAACAATTGGTAAGCTTACTGCTTTCTGAATACCACATCATCTTTCACCTGAAATTTAATAACTATGACGTTGTCAAAACAACGCTTAAAAATTTTTAAAACTGCCTCGAGGCAGGATCCTGAAAAAATAAACTCAAATGAAGTTAAGTTACGTCTCTTCGTCCGAAAAGCAGTGACTTTATTGGTGTCAAACTGCAGGGGCCATTTGCTGTGTAGTTCTATGATAAAAGACAAGTCGGAAGCAGCGTTCAAGATGTCAAAACCTCATCTCCCGGCCAGGCTCCACTGTGGGACAAGGTGACAGCGGCGGCGGCATGACTTTCCCCAACGAGGACCGAAAGTGGTACTTGCGAGGAGTGGTGTCCGTCGGCAGCCCCAGAGAGACCACGTACTCGTTCTTCACGAACGTAACGATCTTCGTGCCGTGGATGGCGAAAATCATCAAGAAGGGAGAGGTACTCATCATGAAACATCGCAGACACATCCTTCCGCCGAATGCACTGTGATAATTCTGGTTGCCATTTGACGAAAATTTCACGGCTGACCATTGTGTCACATCCATCGGAATGTGAGTCAGCCAGAAATTGGCTGACTAACATTCCAACGAATGTGGCACAATAAGAGTGACTCTGAGAGTCAAATCCCTCCAAAATGGATATCGAGATCTCCACTACAGGCCACAGAGAGGTGTACTTTTGCTACCTTGTAGTTATTTTTTGCCTTTATGACCTTGTAATGATCTATTGAGTCACACCCTGGTTAGTGACCAGCTATTTCATGAGAGTGATAGCGGTGCATGCTTCCTGTAAAAATTTGTTGTCACTTTATGACAAAATTGTTGGCGATATTTTCATCTTTTGGAAATGATATTTTCAAGATAGCAAAAGTACACCTCTCTGGCCTGTAGCGGAGATCTCGATATCTATTTTGGAGGGATTTCACTCTCAGATTCACACACAAAGGAACGTGACATTTTGGCACATTCGTTTCAACGTCCTGGAATGAGCGTGTTTTCATGTATAGTGGAAGTGCCTGCTTCAAGGATGGCTCGAAGAAAAAGTGTCACCTCCTTAAAGGGTGTACTTTCCTTTCCCAAACTACGGCTTCGTTTCACATTCAAAGAAACATTACGACGTTCAATGTCTCGATAAGGCCTAACTTGCCAGGGACGTGGTGCATTCTCTTGTTTCTCTACAAACTCAAGTGTCGACTCCACCTGGAGCGAACCCAGCATGTACACTCCACCAGGCATCAACCTGGCATGTACACTCCACCTGGCGTCAACCTGGCATGTGCACTGTTGCTGAAGCCCCCTACCTTTTGCACGTAAAGCAGAGCAACAGTGTGCTTGCAGGTAAACGCCACCTGTCGTGTACTTGGCAAGCATGCTCCAGCGTGGAGTGTACATGCTAGGTTGACTCCAGGTGGTGTGTACTATGCCAGGTTGACTCCAGGTGGAGTGTACATGCTGGGTTGACTCCAGGTGGAGTGTGCTATGTCGACACTTTGAGTTTGTAGAATTCTTGCTTTCGCAGCCGTTCTTTATGGGTGCAGCTAAGACCCTGTAAGCATTGTTGCGACTCTTACAGTTTCCCAGAAACCTTCTCTAAAAGTTTCCCGGGAACTCTGTCCGAAAGTCCTCTAGAACTTTCTTCTGAAAGTCCTCAAGAACTTTCTTCTGAAGGTTTCTCAAGAACTTTCTTCTGAAGGTTTCTCAAGAACTTTCTTCTGAAAGTGTCCCAGGAACTTTAAAACGTGACGCACACAGGTGAGCGGACGCCGCTGTGGAGTCGACGTGAGCGAGGCGAACGTGGTGGACGGTGCGATGGCCGGACGGGTGGACTTCCCTTGGGAGGTGGACGTCTACTACCAGCAGGCTCCGAGCAGAGGCTTCCAGAGGCTGTGGTCCGGTGCGCTTGTCAGCCCGAAACTTGTTATAACGAGTGAGTGCCTGCAGATTTTTACATTTGTAGGGGTAAAAAGCGCAAAGGGAAGGAAAGAAAAACAACCGTGAGGGTCAGCGAGGGAAAAACGTTCACGATTTCGTCTTAGAGAGAGAGAGAGAGAGAGAGAGAGAGAGAGAGAGAGACTCTTTTCAACAGCCTCGCGCAGCTCGCATGTCGCCTCCCCGTCGCAGCTCAGAGGATACACGTGTCACTGTCGATTCAGTTTGCACAGATACCGAGCAGTCCCGATCTCAGGTACTCATTTGGAACATAATTTTCAATTTTGAAGGAAGTTTCATATTGAGTCTAAAGACGAAGAAGTCGAAGAAGAACAAAAATGGATCAAGAATTAACCATCAAGAATCTTACCTCGATTAAACAAATTTTATTGATTCTTAAACAAAGTTTCAGTAGTTTTTTTTTTTTTTGAGATGAGCATACTTTATTTTCGCTAAAAGTGTTCGTATAAACGGAATGTTTTTCCGCAGCAACCTTGCAGCGGCCTCCCGAGGGCCTGCACACCGACATCTCCGTGTACCCGCCATCACGCATCCGTGTTGCAGCTCGCAACATAACGGACACCCTGGATTCGACCAAGACATGGGACTTCAGCGAAGTGAGCCGAGCCGCACACTGTGGCAAAAAGCTACGGAATATTCTGTAAACAGCTTGTGGTAATTCTCCGTAGCCCCCTTATCAATATTCTCCGTAGGCTCTTACAGTATTTTCTGTAGGACCGCACAGTATTCTCCGTAGGACCTTACAGTGATCTCCGTAGGACCTTACATTGATCTCCGTAGGACTATACAGTCCTCCAGGTCCTACGGAGAAGACTGTGCGGACTTACAGAGAATACTGTGCGGCCCTACGGAGAATACTGAAGAGCCTACGGAGAATATTGATAAGAGGGCTACGGAGAATCATGGCAAAAAAATTAACAGAATTTTCCGTACCCTTTTCTTACAGTGCACTGATGCTGTAGTCTAACCTTAGCAAATGCAAAACTGTACACTTGAATGCCCCCGCAGGTGGTGAGGGCCTATTTCCCGGATGATCTCCTGCGTCACCAGGGCGTCACGTTAAACTTCATCATCTTTGAGCTGAAAGAACCCATCAATCTGATGCCGGTGTGCCTTGACTGGTCAGGGAGCGCCCTGCTACACTTGCCAAAGGCGGGAACGGTGAGTTCTTTGGATTGGTTGTTACCTTTTAACAAATGTTTTCCATTCATTCGTTTTATTTTCCGTCCTAGTGGGCAAAATCTTTGTTGACTAGTTAAACTTCAAATGTCCGTTACATACGCCAGGGTTCGCAACGCGCATCATTCTTGGGTCGAATGCTTGGAAGCAGCATTTGAGCAGTAAATCTCTCTTTGTTGTTTATTTATAGACTTTCCATGAACATAAGGACGGTTCCCGCGAATGGAAAAGGTACTTTATTCTCAACGAAGCGGAGTGCCGAGAAAGACTTGATGAGCCTCCAGTTTCTTCCAAGACAACTATTTGTGTAACATTGCGCGAGTCTCCACATGAGAGGCTCGACCGCGGCCACTGGATTTACAACCCAAAAACGACGTTCGGGGCGTGTGCCGTCAAAAGCCAGCCTCTGTCCTCCTTGGAAGCATTCAACTTTTGCACTGTCCAAGAGGGTATGTCTTCTGTTATGAAATGTTCAAAATGTTGTAAAAGAACGGATCAAACAAATCTCTTGTTTCAGGTTACGATCCCGAATCGCCTTCTAGGAGTCTTTTTGTGAACGTGGACAATGTCTGGTTCCTCAGGGGCATCTTGTCCTTCAGCACTGTAATAAACGGGAACTCCATTTCCATGTATACTGACTTCAGCGATGCGGAGGTACACCGTTGGCTCACGAAGACCCGCGACTTCATGGGGAAACCCACGGTAAGTACACCCCGTGGACAGTCCCGGACGCACCTTGCCCGGCGAAGTGTCCCCCTCCCCCCCTCCCTCTTTGACCACTAGACAGCCGCCTGGAAGGTAGGCAAATTGCGCCACCTTCCCCCTGTAAGTAGGTAAAAAGCATGACCTGACACCCCCCACCCATTTTCCCAAATTTCTGCGCACGCCACTGTTCCTCACGGATGTTCTTTGGCGAAGACAAGATCCGTTGTCCCGTGAGTCATTCCACAGTGCCCCGGCTGTTTGCTTCTCGCAGTGCGGGGATGTCAGCTTGTGTTCGGCGCTCACGCCTGACCAGTTCGTTCGGGGCCACATGCCGTGGACCGTGGCGGTCGTTGTGAACGGAACAGAGAGGGGCTCGGGCCTGCTCGTCCAGCCCAACGCAGTCATTACGGGTAAGCAGAGCGTGAAAAACTAAAGAAAAAAAACAATGGCTGGAATTTACAAAGGTACCTCTGGTCAAAATGATGCCGTAGGCACATGCGTTAGTTCATGAATATTCTCTGGAATTTGGAAAGATTCTTCGTTGGTCCACGAACATTCATAGAAAATTCACGAAGAGTCTTCAACTCACAACATTTTGCAGAGGGCACCTTCTTCGGTGATTCCCAATTTAGTTCTTACAGTGAAAAAGACTTTATTATTGTGATTCAAGGGGCAAACATTCTGAAAAATTGTTATTTCAAATTCAAAATTATTGCACGTTATTTTGCTTTGACGTTATCTCTCTCTCTTTCTTTTTTTTAAGTGAAGCGTACACCAAAATTGCAGTTGTTACCTATCCGTTGTGCGGTGAGCTAGACAGTTGGGAAATTTGTGTTGATGGGTGATAAATGTCAGATTTCAGTCTGCAGCTGAATAGCTCGCAAGAAGCTGTCCCACAGGGTTCTACTTCCAACATCTCTATCCTTTGGCAGACCGCAGATGGCACGACCGAAACCAGTCGAGTAAGTTTTAGTGACGCTCCAGTAGGTGGGAGAATGTTTGGGCAAGGGGCACACTGAGATTCCAAACGCTATGAGTATAGCACGTATGGTGCAATACAGCTGAGATATCGCACCACACGTGCAATGCCTCAGCCATATTGCACCTTACGTGCAATGCATCCCGAAAATGCCCTATGCTAATGCATGGGACTGGGGAGGCATTGCACTTCATGTGCAATGCTTTTGCATTGCACCAATTGACGCTATACTCATAGCGTTTGGATTCTCAGTGCATTTCGTGTTTATATTGGGGATGATTTTTTTTGTTACACCAGTAATAAAGGGTTTATTCAATCTGTAGAAGCCAAAGTTAAGAACCGACAACTTGCACACAACTTGCGGTTGCACGCTGCACAAAGAATTCTCCTGCCTTCTCGGTCGTCCCTTTCTCCTCTGAACCAGCAGTACATTGCCTGCTAATTGATACTACAGATCCCATATCGGACAACAAAACCTGTTGAAACGTATTGGAACTTCACCTTGGGTTTTGAAAGAGTGCTCTTTTGGCAATCTTACGCTATTTTAGATGCAAGGAAAAATGTTCACATACGAACGCCAGTTCTAGATTCCTACACGCTTAAAACCTTACGAAGTAATTTGAGCATACATAATACAAAGTATTTTATTTTGTTATACAAAGCTATGGTTCGCAAATAAGAAAGTATATTCTTTGTAAGTTATGTATGCTCAAAATACTTTGTTGTTACAAGCTGCTTTTCTTTCTAAGGACTAAAATGATCCAGGAAGCGGAAGAAGGGAATAGTTCGACTTATCTCCAAATTGATTATTTATTCTATTATTGTGTCTTAAAATGGATTGCATAATCGCACCAAATTATTTGACTCAATACTCAACTTGACCCCTTTTGCACTCTCAATTAGGCGGAAAATGGAAACATTTCAACCAAAGTCAACATGACTCCGTTGAAAATTTTGTCAATAAAAGATAACTCAACTTGTGTTTTTATTTCTCGATCGTAGAATCAAGTCAACTTAACCCATTTCATTTTAAGAACTTTTAAGAACGGAAAAAAAGAGCTAAGTTCAAAAAATACACTAGAGGAACCAACACTCTCTGCTGACTATAGTTCCACTTGACTTGTCTCCAAATTCCACTTTGTTTGGGGAATATAAGTTCAGATGACTCTGTTCTCCATTATAAGTGATAAGTTACAGAAATCTGATACGCAGTGACCGGGCATTACTCGAGTTCATCTCCAAATTTCTTGAACTCGTTATCGTCTAATATAACATTCCTTTGTTCAGTTTTAGTTTTCCCTGGTAATAGTTTTTTGTTTCCTCGGAAAAATTGCCAAAATTAAGTTTTCCCCCTCTTTCGCTTCCTGGATCAAGTAGTTTGTAAGGTTTTCTCAGTGTAGTGAACTCGCGCAGCCTGGCAACTGATGGCTTTGCTTTTGACCGCCAGGTGCTGCGAGTGAGCGTGCACGAGGTGAAGGGGCAGCCCGACGTGGCGCTGCTGGAGCTGGACCCGGCCACGCCTGCCCTCACCACGCCCGTGTGTCTCGACCTCAGTGGCAGCGTACTGCGGCCCCTCGCCACTGGGCAGCTGGGGCTGGTGGGTCAGCGAGGGGACCACACTGTGGCAAAAAGCTACGGAAAATTCTGTAAACAGCTTGTGGTAATTCTCCGTAGCCCCCTTATCAATATTCTCCGTAGGCTCTTACAGTATTTTCCGTAGGACAGCACAGTATTCTCCGTAGGACCTTACAGTGATCTCCGTAGGACTATACAGTCTTCCAGGTCCTACGGAGAAGACTGTGCGGACTTACAGAGAATACTGTACGGCCCTACGGAGAATACTGTAAGAGCCTACGGAGAATAGTGATAAGAGGGCTACGGAGAATCCTGGCAAAAAAATTAACAGAATTTTCCGTACCTTTTTGCCACAGTGTGCGGCCTTACTCTTTGCCACATTCTCCTCCACGAGCCTTCTACTTACACTACGAGATCAAATGTGTACTTAGTAGCACACACCTACGGGAATGTGGTTGGACAAGTACACATCAGGAGTACTAACACGTGTGATTGGCCTAGCACACTTTCGTCTCACACATCAACTTGAAAGCACGCTCCTCTGCTTTGTACTTATCCAACCACACACCTATAGATGTGTGCTTCCTCAAAGTACACTCGCTCAGCTGTGTAACAAGGACACATGTGGTCCCGTAGTGTGGTACTTTAATATGAATGAGATGCACCTCATGGAACATCTTCATGTGCTCCGATTTTGACCAGATATCGTGCGCTCGCGCTGACTTAAAATAGGGAACTGACGACGCACTCATTTTTAGCCGTTTGCCTTTGGTAAGGTCGGTTGGGTTTTGCTGCGGTTTCACTCATGTGAAACAGAAAATGCTACTGAAGAATTGCTGCCATATGGCCTGGTCTAATAGGTACCAATAGAGTGCACGAGTGCCGTAACTCTTCTCTTGTGAACAGAAACCCTTACCTTAAGTTACAGCTTCAAAATTACTCGAGGGGTGAATCACTAGTCTACTCAGTGTACTCACAAGTTTAGAAAGGTCGAAATTTGCTAAATTTTTGCATGATTCGGCGTTGCATGTCGTTTTAAACCAGGGCTCCGTAACGTACCGTAACGCGGGTACGTTACAAAATTTGGCTGGTACCGTATCGTTTGATACACGGTTCGTTACGTTTTTGTACCGTGGACCAATTCATCGTCAGTAACGGTTCGGTTACAAACTGTAACGTTACGCTTAAACGTTACGTCAGTAGCGTTACAAATTTTGTCACGATCCGTTACATTTTTGACGCCGCGTTACGTTACAGTACCCGTTCCATCTGTGTACCATAGAGGGATACCGTAAGATGTTCAGTTACCTTTTGGAACGTTACGTATACCGTAACGGGAACTGCTTATGCTTGGGTACGTTACAAACCCCAGCCCCTCGACCGCCCCCCCTCCAAAAAAAATTCACAAAGACACACAAATGTTGAGATTGAATGAGTTGTTGAGTGCGTTTTTTAGCAGTTCGAAGATGGAAGAGATGGTCGGCCAATGACCAACCGAAGGACCACTGCAGCCGCGGTGACTCGGGCCAGACCTGAGATCAGGATGCAACAACCTACTGTGTTCCCCCGCCCTCCCGTCTGGTGGTCATGGGGCGTCGCATTGAAAGAGACTCCCGCGCCCGCAACGGAAACCCGCCCGGACCTAGTCAAAATGACAAAGAACTTACAAACGCGAGGCAAGCCCCGCATCATGGCGCGCACGCCATCTAGCGGCTGGCTCGGGGCGGCGGCAATTCACCAAGTTAGCTTCTCGATGGCGCCCGGTACGGTAGGAGTTGACTGAAAATCGTCTGCACTCGGTCAGAAGGTCTTCGAGCGAAGTCAAGTCTGAGACGGCGCAAAGAGCATAACAAGACGGCTGCTCGACGGTTTTGAGACGACTTTGAGACGGGAGCCAAACAGAAACAGCGTGAGCGGCGGGCGCGTCCGTGTCTTTTTCTCGTCGCAAAGTGGTCTGCGACTTTATTTATTCGAAATAAAGACGAGAAGCAGACATGCGGTTGAAAAGTTGAGACGGCAATGGGTCCACAGCGAGGAAAACGACGCGGCGGACGAAAACAAACCGCTCGAGAATCGATCCCCAGACCTTTCGCCTGGGATACCAGTGCTCGAAGCCGCAGCGCCAGAGCGACGTCTGAGAGAGGTGTGGTCTAGTAGAGTGTCATGCTGCCGGCGCGCTCCGAACTCAGCCCTGCTGCGGCCTGCTGGCTGAACGGGCCAGAGTCAGAGTCCAGCGGGCGGGCCCGTCGCCGTCGCAAATCCGTCGCGAACAGCAGACGAGGTGCAGCGTTGCGATGTCGCCTTCATGGGAGACGGCAACACTGCTGGCCGAGCCAAATATCTTCTCCACTGTCGTAACAAAATAGCGTGAGCTTTTCTCTCCACCAAGGAAATGTTGTCGCTACTTCGGTAGCGGCTCGCGCCCACATTCGTCTGGTTCGTGGTTGGGGCCCGTGGCGCGGTAAGATTTTGACCACATGGAAGAAGAAGTGGGCAAGGGTAACAGTGGCGAGGACGGGGGATCGGAGGTGCAGCAGTCTCATTTTCACAATTTTGGGCATTGCTGGAGTAACGTTACATTTCCGTTCCAAACGTGACCGTTCAATGAGTTCCAGCTGGAACGGTTCCGCGTAACGTACCGCAGGGTTAAACCAATCGTTGATAACGTTACTTCTGGGAGATAAGGGTATTGTACCGGTACCACGGCGTCCCGAGAGCTTTGATACTTTTCCCGTAACGTTACAGAACTACATTTTTCACCGGGTACGTTATGCGTAACGTAACGATGGTTGCTTTGGAACTTGGTCTAAAACTTGTAACGTACCGGGTAACTGATGAAAAGTAACGACAGTTTTGTGACGTTACGGTGCCCTGTTTTAAACTCAACATAGACCCTTAAAACGTTTAAAAATGTGAAACTTGTGAATTTACAAAGGTGTACTCACCCGTACTTATGCACTTATGTGTATACTAGAATTCTGATTGATTCACCAGTCGAAATTACTAGTACAAAGTTTTCATTCGTGAATATATGGCATTTTGTTGCAAAGTGTAGCGTGCTTAAATGACGTTTATCCGAGTAATTACCTGAACACACAGACGAAAGTCTTGCCAACAGATTCTCCTTGGCTCAAAGCCTCTCCTGCCGCGGCTGGCTACGTACTAAGCTCATGTGGGACTTTTTCTTCGGCTACAGGTGGAGTCATGGCACAAATGGGGACCCACAAACCACAATCTCGTCGGTGGCAGAAGCATCGACTATTTCGATTGCTTCAATAAGTTTGCGCGCTCCGTTGGAAAGTTCAACAAAGACAGCGGGTTTTGCATCTCGTCAGAGAAGAACGTCCTCGGTATGCTCTCGAAGAAACTCCACCTTAAGAAACAAGTTTCCGCTTAAGTCAATCCTACATTCATATTCATGTCCATAGATCCACGAGTCTTAGGAGGCGGCTACCTCACGTACTCCGGCTCAAAATGGTTCGTGCAGGGCTTGTTCACACGTTACGTCAAGCTCCGGCGGGAAAACTTAGCGGTCGCCGCTGACTTCACCCACGAAGGCTTGCGAGCCTGGTTACGGAAGAAAATCGACAAGATAAAATCAAGTACGTATTGAATGTACGAGCAGGTCTGCGCAGGAAAATTTCCCCCTGACTTCTAGACACCAGTCTAGTGTGTCCGATTTTTCCCCACTCTTGAGGTGTTCGGCTCTTCCCCGCCCTCAGTAACTCTCCCTGCTAAGAAATCTGCTCCAGTTGTTTGTGTTGTTTCTCAAACTTGGAAAGGTTCCTTGTTATGGCTACAGTTTGAACCCAGTTTCATTTGAGGCTTGTTGGTTCAGTGCCGTGGAAAATCCCTGACAATACATCGCCTAAGAACTGCGAAGGTGCCGGGCCCACTTCGCCGCAGGAGGTACGGTGCTTTGACTACCATGAATGCATGAATGGGACCCATCTCCGTGGAAGCATCCCACACTCTCAGCCTGTTACTGACTTTTTTCCTCAATAAGTACTTGTAAGTTCAAGCAAGGATTTTACTTAGTATTTTCTAAGTTAAGTTCTAAGCTCTAAATGTCCTTTGTAAAATTATTGACGAAAAGGACTTGCCTGTACACTATTTGACAATTCCTATGTAGCTCTTTAAAAAACAAAACGGACGAATTATGTTCGTTCAAATTACTAGCGTAAGTACTGTAAAATCAAACAAAAGGTCAGTAACATCTAGAGGGCGCAGTTAACGCGTTTATGTGAACGTGGTTAATAAAGTCCAGCGTCGCGGATCAAATGTCTTCGTTTGGTGCACAGTGTGGCGTTTTCGTCGCGCAAGACGAGAGGAGAGGCGGCGGCGAAGGTGGCCAGGACGACTACCTCAACGACATCACCCTCAACCGCATGCAGTGGAACGTCAATGTGTACGTGGACCACGGCGAGGGGGACTTGCGCGTCCGCGCGGGGACTGTAGTTCACCCCAAGATGGTGCTCACATGTGAGTCAGCTCAGTTCGCAAGAGCGAATATCTTACAGCCATTCTGAACCCACACCTGGAACAGTTCTGTTTCTCTACGAATACGGCTGCATGTTTCATTAGAATATGACTGCGTCACGTTTGTTTCAATGCGATGTCACATTTGTGTGAACGTGCACGGCTGTTTGATTAGGATGTCACACTCGTTTGAACGTGATGTGACATCACATTCAAACGAACGTGACGTCACATGAAATCGAACGCGACACAATCCACATCGATCCACGTTGAGATTGATTGAGAACCTAACATTATGATTCCCGATGAATTTGTGCCATACAAAACGCCCGGACTTCATTGGTGGACAATCTGTCAATTTTCATGCCAAAGTTCAGATTATCTTTTAAAATTTCAGCCCGGTATCATCTAAAATTTAGGAAGTTCCAGTTGAAAACTCAGTATAAGTATGACGTCGCAGTTGTTGAAAAAAAAAGAACCAGAAACAGTCTGTCTATCTACAACGAGTAGCACCGAGCGTGATGAAGTTCACGCGTTTAAAAGTAAAGCTTTATTACAGCCGCCATTCGCCTGGTGAATCAGAACATCAGTGAGGCGTCTCCCGGAGGAACTCAAGCATTGATGCCAACGCGAAACGTCACCGTTCACTACAACACTGCAGACTCGAGGAACACGCTCATCGTAGACGCAAGTATCCCATTTGCAGGATTGAAAAACTTACCATAGACAAGACGTCAATCACTGCAATGAAAAGTGTGACTAGTGCAACACTAGTACAACAAAAACTGTACAATTTAAGCACAACACGGATAGTAGAAAGCACAACAGGCATTGTACAAACCACAACGAGGCCTGGACCGCACAGCACTTGTCATGCCGGTTCCATTGTACTTTGTACAACAATTGTTGTACTTTTAAAGTACATTCGATTCCTGATAAAAAAAATTGCCAGAAATTTGTGTACTTTTGTAGTGGTTTTTATATTGCAGTGATTCTCATCCTCACCGAGTTTATGAGCAATGTCGATTTTACTGACATCCACATGAAACTCCAGGTGACGGAGATCCACGTAAGGAAGCGGAGCGTGACGTCGTGGTCGGTCCACTACCGCTACGACATGGCACTCCTCACGCTGGAGGTGGCGGTGCAGCTCATACCAGTGTGCCTGCCGGCTCCCGGTTCGCTGGGCACCACGATTCCCAAACTCACTCCAGGCTCCAAAGGCATGGTTAGTGTGCAGTGCAGGTACCTGTCACGTGACGAAAAACACGAGTCCGAGGGCGTAACAACTTCCCAAATTCGTTGTACAAAATTTGAACACATTCATCAGGCAAAAAGAAACGACGAAAACGCCCGTAAGTAAGCACACTGCAATTGAAAGGGTGAGATATTTCACCAATTTTCGGCGGTTCAAACGTATCATCGCAAAAAAGGTCGTACACGAATGTATCACCGAAAAAAAATGTCGTACACAAATGTATCACCGAAAAACAGGTGAGACATCAGCGAGATTGGCCCTTGTTTTCCTTGGGAAGTATCACCCTCTTTGGTGATACATTTGTGTACGACCTTTTTTCTGGTGATATATTCGTGTGCGACCATTTTTGCGGTGATATACATGCGTGTACGACCATTTTTTCGGTGATACATATCACCTTTATTCGGTGAGACAGTTATGTCTCAGAGTACACAGAGTATTACGGTGGTTCCCCCCTCGCACGAGACAATGCTCTGAGAATCTTATAATCTTTACTAATTCACGCCCCTTTGAAGGGCATAAATAGACGTTTGCCGCTCCAATGGTGAAAATCGTAGTTTTCGTGCCATTTTACCAGAGAGTGATATGGCGAATGTGAGTTTTTAATCGGTTTTGTGCTTGGTGCTGCAGGTGGAGGTGTGGAGCAAACCAGAAATCAATTACTGGCACTACCTGGTGCCAGCCCTTGTGAAGAGCGAAACGGAATGCGTGGGTATCATCCCTGAAGTTGACATCGACGTCAACATCCCAGCGGATGAATTCTGCGCCCAGTACATAGAAGGTATCGAGATAAACTATAGGCCTTGCTTCTGATCAGTTACAAGTATCTTGGATCGAATAAAAGCTGCAAGCGTGGTGTAGTAAGAGTTCAGTTTTATCTGGCAATATAGCGTAGCATGCTAATTTTACATGCTACCCTACGCGTTCAGAGATTTCGATGACAAAAATGGACTTGTAACGGAAGCACATAAGAATTAAACGAGTAAAATGCAAGTAGTATACAGCACGTGATTTAGCGCGTTCGAAGTAATATAGATTGACGACTCCTAGTATCCGAAATTCGGAACACCTGAGCCCACCTAGCAAACGGGTGTAGATGTAATTTGGCATAATATGGCTTTCCAAGTTTTTGCTGCCCATTCGTTCCTTTAGAAAGTCAAAATCAGACGCAAAATGCCATATTTTCGCTGTAGAAAGTTCTGAAGCATCCTGCTTTCTCACAAACCATGCTCTGACAATGTTCGACTTTGTTAATTAAAATGTACTTTGCAAACTCAAATACGGACTTACTCCACTCATTTAAATGCATGAGTAAGTACAAGCCTGTTGATACAAGCAAAGTGTGACGTTTTCAGGTGTGGAAGCTTACCTGTTTGAAGTGCAAACCAATAATATATGCGTGCCTGCCTCAATCCAGAAAAACAGGCGTGTACCGCTTACTAATTTGGGCTTGTACAGTATTTAGAACGTCCTTGACGTCCCTGCCGCGGATCGTGAACGCTTAAAACCTCACGAAGTACGTCGTAGACACTTGCACTGTAAAAAATTATGTTGTAATTTAGCAGTAAATATGTTGCTAATTTTCTTAGCGATCAAAGTTGTTTTCAAATGACTTTCGTTGTTTACTAACGAGTTGCGTCGTTCGTCCACAAGATGTTTGTAAACCGATAGACAGCCTTATTTGCATCAATTTTTATTGCCGATTAGGTCACAGACCTAGTAGAGTCCCGGTTACCCCGCAGTAACCACTTCTTAGATTGTCCGGGTTGTTTGTACGCAGCAAAATATTGTTTTGAAACAGCATAAGTCATTAAAATAATTAGCAACGAATTCGTCGTTTCAAAACAAGCAAACTTGTTCACAAACAACAGCGTTGTCGAGGTTGGTAACTGTGTTGTTGTTTTGAAACAACTATTTTTAACAGTGTGTATACTTTGTTATCAAAGAAATAGCTCGTAAACTAAGAATTAAGTATCTTCTTTGAAAGCTTAAATAGTTTGTAAGGTTTCCAGAGCACTCAGCTCAAACTCAGGTCACAATATGCAAATTGGAGGGAAGCTCAATTAGAGGATGTTCTCTCAGGGTGCCGTGTTCGATATTTTCCCCGCCCTGACCCTGTTTCACGGTGCAGATGATGCCGAAGACTTGCCGGCTGACTACGGGGCGTCTTTCGCCGTGCAGACGGACGGCCTCTGGTACTTGCGAGGCGTTGTCGGCATCAATTGGCGCTTCCACGGCGGCACCGGCACGCAGCGAACCTTGTTCGTCTTCTACAACCTGGACAACCCAGAGCTGCTGCAATGGCTCCACGACAAGATCGGTAATGCACACTCCTTGATGTGCGAACAGTTCGGTACCGAATCGAATCTGTGGACCGTTTGATCTCGATTCATTCGGAATTTCGAATGATTGATGGTTCGTCTTCGAACTTAAGGTGGGCAGGTAAAGTGCAAAAAAGTTGGAAAAGGTGGAAAAGTCATAAAATGACAGGAAAGTTCTAGTCAGCATCGCATTGTTTATCTTGATTCGGATGCGATTATGCAACTTTTTCCTGATCCAATTCAAAATTGGTTCGAGAAATAGATAAATTAGGATTCTCGAGGGGGTATGCGCTCTCTGAACCTGTGTACCGACTATTACGCTATTACGCTCTATTACGCCACAAATTAATCGGAATTTAGCTAAAAACGGCCTAAAACACACCAAAATTAGTAAAATTTTGACAATTTCGGCTATTACGCGACTATTACGCGTATTATTACGCAAGCTATTACAGATAGAGTGTACCGACTATTACGCGAGTGCATACCCCCTCGAGGATTCTATTCAAATTTGATTTGAAACGAAAATCCTTTACTCGCACACCCCTTTAAACAACGCAGTTGGAAAGCCCACCTGTCCACTGGCTCGAACTATGTAATTTGAGTCACATATCCATGATGCAAAAGCTCGAGGTGGGCTAGCCAAACGTGTTCACTGTTAAATTTGTACCTGCAGGCACATCTACAGTGTCGTCGGCTGCTCCCAGCACGCCTGCTGCTACGCCTGCGTCTTCGTCAATTGGCACTACCGTACCCGACGACCTCACCACTGTTGCGTCAGCAGATGAAGTGACAGAGACAGAGGCGGCGTCCAACGAGCCTCTTTCAGTCACGCCGCTGTCCCCAACGCCCTCTACAGGCGCCACTGCCCCGCAATTTCCGAGCACAATCAACGATGATTTCACAACCACGCCATCTCCAAGTATGATTCGTCCGCAAAATTCACCTACACACTAACTGATTGTTCTGTGAGTGAAGACAAGATTCTCACAATGAGGCGTTTTGTTTCAGAACAATCAAGCAACGGTTCTGAGGTTTTCATCTCACTGCTGGGATCGACAAACACGCCACACGTGACTTGGCCCACGGTTGGCCCTCTCTCTGTTCGTCCACCGCACAATAGCCTCACGTACTCAACAGTGCCCGAGGTAACCATCCAGACAACTCCGTTTTTACTAGTTCCTTGAAAGCTCCTATCACCTCACATACAGAGAGGTCGTGAGTTACCGGTGCTGCAAAGCTGCACTGAGAAAACCTTACGGACTATTGTAGGCCACTGTAAAAAATTCCGTACTTTTGTACGGAAATGATACAGAAAAATATAGTACGGAGGTACGGAGAAAAGTACGGAACGATCCGTACTTGCTCCATATGAACCCGTGTAAATGGGTATGGAAAAAAAGTACGGAACGTTCCGTAGTTGGCAAGTACGGACGTTCCAGGCAAATTATTGACCAGACATGTTCCGTACTTTTTCCGTACTTTTTTCTCACTGTGGCCTTACAAAGAAAAGCAGTAACAAAATATTTGGAGCATACATAAGCTTACGAAAAAATATTTCGTAATTTACGAGCTATTTCTTCGTATAAATAAAATAAATTAGTTTGTATTATGTATGCTGAAAGTACTTTGTAATTTTTTAATCGTGTGGACCTTAAACTCAAATCAAAGCGCAACAGGGAATTTTCGAAGCCCTTGGAACATACTGGTACCGGAGCACACACAAAACCTATGTCGAGGGGTCCTATTCAAAAGATCTTATCTGGGCGTTCCCCCAAGACAATCTTATCTTAAACGCAGGTGAATTTCACTTAGGTTGATCATTTGATACAGCTACATATCAATACAATTTGTGATTTTGTTCACGTAAATCTGAGGATGGAAGATCAAAGAAACCAAAAGTGCATGCAGAAATATATTCCGCTTCCTGTCGTGTTTATCCCAATTGATCAAAATGAGAGAAATTTGCCTGCGTTTAAGATAAAATTGTCTTGGGGGGAACGCCCAGAAAAGATCTTTTGAATAGGACCCCTCGATGTGTGTAAGCGTACTCTGTACACTCATGGCGTCCTCGAGTCGCGTGCTTCCAAGCCTGCACTTCGGAGCCTCAGCACGCGCCTTCAAAGTGTGTGCTCAGTGAGTACAGACTTTACAGAGGCGCGTGCTTATCCAAGTACTCTAAAAGGCACGTGCTTAGGCAAGTTCAGTACACCCCTCGAAGTGCATGCTTGTAAGCACAAGATTCGAAGAGCCTACCAAGTACGCACATAGGCCTACATTACAAGTGCACACCTGTTCTTTGAACTTTAATGCGTTCGGAACTTTGATTTTCTTCATGAAGAGGGTAAGGTCTTGAAGCGTTACGGTCGTTACGCTTAAACGAAGTGCACCCTTAAAACCTTTCGAAGTATTTTTAGCATACATACGAGCAAACTAACTTACTTTGTTATACGAAGAAATAGTTCGTAAATTACGAAGGATTTTCTTTGTAAGCTAATGCTCAAAATACTTTGTTCTTACAAACTGCTTTGCTTTGTAAGGCCTGAAATAGTTTGTAAGGTTTTCTCCGGTTTTCTCAGTGTAACGTTAAGTCTTGAATCACCAGCAAATCACTGGAAGTGCAGTATTCGCCGGTGTCTCGGGTTGGTCCAAAATCCACTCGCATGTGACACATGTGATTCCTTGCAGGCCCCACTGAAGAGCAACCGAGACTCCAATGCGACCGAGACGTCCACTGCTGATCGAAACGAAGACATCGACGTCAAGGACCGTTGGAAGCAAACTGCCGTGTGGCTGGGTGTCGCTTTGGGAATCGTCAGCACTGCTGTCATCATTTGTGCGCTACTTGCAATGCTGGGGCGTTTCCGTGCAAGGAGCAGCTCTCCAGTGGCGGCCCTGGAACTTGTCAAATCGGAAGGCTGAGAGCTGGTTCCATTACTGTGAAACATTGGCTGAATTCAATAAATTAAAAAAAAACTTGGTCCCATTCAAAGGAATATGACACATGACACATTGCTCAAAGAAACGTGACATTTTGTAACAGTCACATTCATTTCCACGTGATTTTACGTTCCTGGAATGAGAGTGAATGCCGGACGAACACGCGGTGTGACCTAATGGATTTTCAATCGACACGGTTGTGACCGGTGCAGTCTTACCACTGCAAATGCAAAGGCGATACTTAAGCACACATTTTGGCGATACAATTGAGTATCGCCAATAAACGGCCTGACGGAAAAGTATTGCCTTTAGAACGGCGATACACAGAAGCATCGCCAAAATTTGGCGATACTTTTGAGTATCGCCAAAACCACGGCATTAAACAAAGAATTTGTCCCCTTGATTTGTTCAACGTTGATTGCCAAATCGTGGCAATACTCCGAAGTATCGCCAAATTTTGGCGATACTTTTGTGTATCGCCGTTTCGAAGGAAATACTTTTTCGTACGGCCGTTTATTGGCGATACTCAATTGTATCGCCAAAAAAAGGTACCAAAAGTATTGCCTTTAGATTTGCAGTGACTGCCTTATAAAAGCTCTAGATAAAAACCAATTGGCATTGACCTCCTTCCCAACCCGGTTTGTTTGGATCGTCGAGCGAATACTTATTGCCGGAACGCCAATAGAACCGAATCTTACACCGCTTGTGGATTTGTGAGGATTCCAAAACCTCAAAAATTGGCTTTTTTTAAACCTGCTGACTTATAATGCTGCCAGTGGTTTTCCCGAAACACAATGCGCTCCATTGAATGCTGGGTCGCACAAGGCTCTACGAAGTCGGGTTTGGACAGTTCGGGGTCTCCAATTTGCTCTATGCTCAATTTCACAGTTTTCACTTTTAGGAGATTCCATAATACGAAACTTAATTACGTTTTTACATTGGTCTTGCATGTCCGTGAGAGTGCACGAAAAAGGAAAGTGACTAGTTCGTGGCCTCAAGGTCGAACAAGACGATACTTTTTATTGCTTGACTCACAACAAACTTAACGACCGACACCAATCGTGACAGAAATTTGACTGCGCAGCGGACACTAGAATATAAAGGTTGGGGAGTCACACATCCGACATGAATTTCAACGGTAAAACTTTCGTTGCAGCAGTTTCGAGGGTAAGTTTTTACTCTTTGCGCAACAAAATCATATCTAGTGCGACCCCCTCCCCGTTGTTTCTCCCTGTGACGATGAAGCATAGATCCAAAAGATAAAATGCATTTAAACGAGAATTAAATTTTCCACAAAATGGCCCTCAGCTGCAATATCGGACAACAAAAACTATTACAACTTCGCTCTCATTCCAAGTACGTGGCTTTGTCACGTTCGTTTCATCGTGATGTCCCGTTCCTGGAATGAGTGTGTTCCTGGCAGCTTCCTTTCGTCTGAAATTAAAGCTAAAGGTTGATTCTTGCATTTAAGATCAGTTGAAGGGGATGCTTTGTAGATGACACTTTTTTTTGGCAGAGCTTTCCAATGGGAACAATGCGGTTAGCACTTGGAGTCGGATTCTTGTTGCTAATGGCATTTCTGGTAAACGTCGACGCGGGTCAGGAGTCAGAATGTGTCGGTTCCTCTTCGGTTCTGTGCAAAAGTCCAGCACTTCGTCAGAAATGCCACATAGAGCAGCTATGCAGCTTAATCAAACAGTGAAAATGTTCGAATAAGTGAAAATATAAGACTATCACTTTTAATAAATTTCTGACTGATATGCAAACCTTTTCATAATTCTTTTTTGTTTTCTATCCAATTAGCATAATTGTCCTGTACTATTGATTGCACTTGTAAGTTGATGTGTGCGCAGATTTTCTTCGAATTATGATTTTTACATTTTACATGTATTATTTTGCTAAAGGTGCTTACTTTTTGTTTGACAAATAAGGATAATTAAAGCAAATGTACTATCCACGGAAAGAGTCGCACACTCAGGTTTTCGTGTTTAGACCATAAAGTCTTCAAATAGCTTGCGCCATACTGAGGATCTTCGATGTCAGCCAGGAACTGTATTGACTGAATCCAAAGTCTAGCAAAAGTCTTGAACAGGCCGCCTCTACCACACTAAGTGCTGCGTGTCTGTAAATCCAAAAGAAGTCTGACTGATAATGAGACTATGTTTGTTGCGTTGTTACTTGATGAAGAGATCGAGCGGCTTGGTAACAAAACAGTGTTCAGGCCTCTTTCGTGGGGAGTAAACGTCGTCCACCATATTTACTGGTAAAACCGTGCTCTGTTAAACACGATTCAACCAATATGGGAAAACTTTACAAGCAGCTGATTTATTTGTTTCGTTACAGCATCCAACAATTTACAGTTGACTCTCAGCTTCTCTTCAGGAGCAGCCGAGTGGTAAACTCTATTCTGTGAACGAAACGGGGATACAATCCAGACGCCACAAAGACTTAACGTGGGTGCATCTGTGCGCAAAATTTTGGAGTGGGTCGCCGGCGGTGCGTGGGAGCAATGCTGCACACCACGTCCATGGAGACTTGAGTATTTCGTAAACACGTAAGAGAGAGAAATATAAAATAGTTTTATTGCGCGGGTGGCGTGTGGAAAAGTTACAGTAGGGCCTGGGGGAGAGTGTGAATTTTGTCACAATTTTGCCATGCTGCTTTCGTGACTTTTGAGGTTTTGTCGGAGTGAGGACAATTGACCTCCTTGGCCCCTAGATAGTCACCTGCAAGGGCCGAAAAAGTCACACATCGCCCCTGTGAGTAGGCAAAAAGTACTCCCCCCCCCCCCCCCCACTCAGGCTGGCTCTGGCTCCGCCACTGGCTCGCGCCTCACGGCATCCAGCTGGTGGACGCGCCGCCCGGCAGCAGGGCGGTGGGTGGCTCGGTGGTGTTCTCGAACTGCACGACGACGTCGGCGACGGCCATGTTGGGCGTGAGGAAGTCGCCGAGGGTCTTGACGGCGGCGCGGAACGGCCGGTCCAGCGGGAAGCCCATGGCGCGCACGTCGGGGTAGTGGGTGCTGCCGGGCACGCCGCACAGCAGCCAGCCGTCGCTGCACTGCTCCGAGGCCGCCTTGGGTGCCTGCAAGCGGACACACACGCAGAATGAATGATCACAAGCCTGCACTGCAAATCTAGAGACAGCCGCACACTATTTAGTGCGAACTACCATGTCTCACGCCTACAAGCGTGAGCCACGTTCTGCTCTTCGCACACTCCACTAAAATTACAGTACACTCTAAATGTCTTACGAAGAAATTTCCCATATTACGAAGGAAATGGCGCAAGCATAACAAAGGTGGTTTTTCTTCGTATTACGAAGGTTTTTCTTTTTTTCTTACAATGAAAAAGCTGTAAAGATTCGTATTACCAAGGAATATTGCTTCGTATTATGCTTGCGCCGAAATCACTGTAACATACGAATGACATAGGTCGAATTTCATTGTAAGACATTAGAGTGTAGATCAATCAATTTGTTTTCAAAGTCATCCTTGAAGAACCCTCTTTTCATTGATGACAAGTGTTTTTTCCCACGATGAACAGAACGCCCTCCGTCAAAATTTGACCAAAAAAATACACGGGACGGGCCAAAAGTTATGTCAATGGCGCTACTGCCCCCTTAAGTCGGTACTTGAGGTGTAGCGGCGCAAAGATTAGCGTGTCATACGAACAATCTGAAAGCCTTACGAAGTATTTCAGGCCTTACAAAGAAAAGTAGCTTGCCATATCAAAGAATTTTGAGCACACATAAGCTTACGAAGAAAATAATTCGTAATATACGACCGATTTCTTCGTATAACAAACAAATATAGTTTGTACCTTACATATGCTCATAATATTTCGTCAAGTTTTGTGCGTGAAAAGCTTAACGTGGAACGGCCTACCCTGACTACCCAGGCGCTCACCCTGTCCTGCGCGAAGTCCGTCACCATGGCCAGCAGCTTGTAGGGCGTGCCGGCGGGGCTGCCTCTGGGCAGCAGCAGACCCGACGGCCAGCCGCAGCGGCACGCGTTCCGCCGCCGGATCTCAGCCACGCTGGGCTGCGGCGTGTAGATGGCGTCGTTGTCGATGGTCAGCGCCGAGTCGACGGACGAGCGGCGGACTGTGTTGGCGCCGGGCGACACTGCAAGGGTATTCGCCAACCGTATCAGCGTCAAAAACAATTCAAGGGCTTCACCACACGCATCAACATCAACACTCCACTGAGAATCCAAACGCTATGGGTGTGGCGTCAATACGGTACATCGGAGAAAACATTGACAGGAAGTCAGCAACAGAACGGGAGAAACTAAAGAGCGTCGCTCGGTCGTGCTGAGCGGTGGTCGGGGTCGAAATTGCCGGAGTGCGGGTGAGGGCGGCGCGCAGCGCGATCATTACCCCCACTCTCAGTGTCTGCATGTCTTACGGTTAAGGGCTGCACCAACACTATATGCTGGAGTCTCATATTCTTCAAAAGATCCACCCTAGGAGCAGACAAAACTCACAAGTCGCTTCAAAGGTGTCCAGTTGCATGCTGAAGCGTCGCTGGAAGTCCAAGTCCAGTGGGGATCCATTTTCATCCTCCGTCATCAACAGGAACAGCCTGACGAACACTTTACGATCTTGAGACTCGTTGTTCAGCACCTGCAGCCAATCGCAAGCGATGAGGTTATGGAAGCATGTAGAGCACCTTCATAATAAATGCTAGACTGCACATCACACATACATCCTTGCCTGTTCGAAATTTTTCCTATGTCTGGCTTGGACTTGTCACACAACAGTCTGAATTGCTTCCATTTTACAAAGCTTTCTTTTGTATAACAGGAAAACGCGGTGCAGTTGTTACTATTATCTACACTGTTAAAAAAATTTACTGAAAATTCATAATTTTTTTTTAGAAGTCCATTTACTTACATTCAGTCTGAATTTTCATACCAAAACTTTCATACTTCGAGGTCTTAAAGTTTCAGACGACGTTAGTCTGAATTTCCAGATCAAAATGTTGTATGAAAAATGATACCAGTCGGTCTATTTTATCAGACTAAATTGTACGAAGAAAGTGAACAGTCAAACTGAAAAATGCCTCTCAGCAGAGTGGAGCCCAAGTCGGCAACCTTATGCCATCAGTTTTTCGTAGACGCTCAGCAGATCATCTCGATGCAAAAATTAGGTAGACGGCAGCAGCCATCTCCTTCACGAGGCAGTGAAGAGCCTAAAGGTGACTACTGAAGTCCGAGGGTGAGCGGCCTTAGCCCAACCACGCGTCGACCCTTGGCCATGCGCGAGAGGGAAATTGTATTCTCTGTTATTTAGCTTATATTGCACTTATTAACATCAATCTTGCTGTGATGCGCTCATGCCCTTTCAGACAATCACTTGGAATAATATTGTAACAAAATATTCACCCACTTTAGCCTTCAAGAGGCAATTTTAGCTCCGAAAGATCAACCATGCGACACTAGCGCCACCTAGCGGACAGAGCAATAAGTATCCATTTCGGAGCTCTGAAACATTCTTTTTGCTCCTTCGACACGAAACATTAATATCATTTGAAATACAACCGTAGTATTGATAAAAATTTTGAGAAAACCGAAAAATGTACAAAGTGGACGGCGTTTGTTTCACCCGTTTTCCGACTTAGCAGGTATGAATTTAGTTTTCGGACGACAATGTACAAAACTTGATCGCCATCGCTCTGAATATTCAGACTTGCTAGTCTTAATTCAAATTTCAGACAGCAGGTCAGACTTTTCGGACAGTTGGTCTTAATATTCGTACCATTTTATGAATTTACGATTCAGACCACCAAGTAAGACGAAATCAGTCTGAATTTTCATATTTTTTTTAACAGTGTAGTCTAATATTTTCTGGTGGTTTTTGCCACGTCTTTGTACTGCACATTACTAAATGTTTCGTATCACGGAGGACAGTTTTGAAAAACAAATTAGGCAGTTTTGTTTTACTCGAGAATAATTTTGTGATACGACTGCACTTTGTTTTACAACAATACAAAAGAACGATTTTTTTATACATGTCTCGTGCAGAATTTTATTCAGAATAAATCTTCAGTGCGTACATACTTTTGAGTGTCTATACAGTTTGATGACACTTACCTGCAGCACGTAGTCGAAGCGCCTGTGCTGGAGGTGCGTGAAGCGCGCGTACTGGCGGCCAGGCGGAGTGTAGTCCAGCCCCATGGACACGTCCAGGTCGGTCTGCTGCATGTACGTGCGCAGGGCGTTGTCCTGCGACAAGCCGGCAGTGCGCACCGACACGGACTGCAGGGTGACGGCGGGGAGCGGTGTGACCTAGGCAGAGCCAAAGTAAGACCGGTGCATCAAAGCCGAACACTACAAATCTGTCATATGATTCACATTTGTTAGTGCATTTGCAAGTATTTGAAGCCTTCAATACGGCGATACGCAAAAGTATCGCCAAAATTCGGCTATAAACAATGAACTACACACTTAACATCTTATGATCGTTTTTATCCGTATTACGATGGTTTTTCATCGTAAGGTACGCATAAATTTGCACATACGTAATATGCTTAATTTTTCATCGTATTACGCATAAATTTTATTGTAGTACGTATGTTCTCATTTCAACGTACGTTACAATGGCCCTTTCATCGTAAGAATCTGAGGGTGTAGTTCTCTTGGTTTGTTCAAAGTTTATTGCCAAATTTTAACAATACTCCGAAGCATGGCCAATTTTCGGTGATACTTAAGTTTATCGCCTTTCAGAAGGCAAAATTTCCTGTATGGCTCTTTGTTGGGAATAATTGTATCGCCAAGAAAAGGAACTAAAGTATTACCCTCGGATTTGGGGTGTCATCTCAACCAATAGAAAGCACACTCTTTTATTGATGTGTGCTTGTGCGAGTACTCTCCTGTAGTTGTGTGTTTGTACCTCCTTGCTTATGTAGTGTATGTGCCAGATTTCGGTCATTTTCAGTACACATTCTCAGTGGCAGTACTCCCAACATAGGTATGTTCTTGTCGGAAAAAGCTTGCCAAAGCGAACGTCGACGCACCTCATCCGTTGAGTACGGGGCCAGTTTTATCTTGTACTTTTCATAGAGGTCGTCCATCAACTGGTGGATGTTGAAAAATGCAGGGTCCTTGGCCACGGTTGTAATATACGATGTCAATGCGAAAGACTCCTATAAGGCAACATTTCACAAAAATCGTCAATTTAATATTAAATGGAACAAATGACGATCTAAGGTGTGTGCAACAAAGTGATCGATCTTACCTTGTACTCGTGGAGCGGGTCCGCAGCGAATGCTAGGTTAGCATGCAAATCGTTGTGAACGTTTCCATAGTAGTCGTAGTTAGGCGACAGAAGCGAATTTCCTTCAAGCAGGTTACTGATGATATCGAGACCCTCGATTCCGACTAAGTTCACTCTCGTCCCGTTACTCTTAGAACAAAAGAACAGTATAGGTGTAATAGCTGGGCAGTTTTGATACATATTCTCAGTATCTACTGCACTGAATGTATGAAGTACCTCAAGAATTTGACCAGAGACTATAAAACGTGAAATTGAAAGATTTGACTCGAAGAATAATACTCACATAAGTTACATATCCTTGTTTGAGAACTTGATCGTAGAGTGCTCTTTGAGAATCGTGGTTTTGAATGAATTTAGCGAGAGGCTGTGCAAACCATATCAACATTAAAACCGTAATCTTAATTTGTGAACAGCACTAGCGTGAACCTGAATTATTTACTCACGAGCAGTGACGTATTTGCTTGCCTGCCTATGGTACCCTTCTCACCATGAAGATGGACCATTTTCGGAAAATACCCTTTGGGCAACGGCTCATGAACGTCCATGGGCAGTACGGCTGGGAGTCCATTGGTGAACCTCTCTGCGTTGTATCTATTAATGTTTGGAAGGATTTAGAACATAAGAGGACAGTGCACAGTAGCACGGCGTAAGCTGCAATTTCTTCTCTAGTACAAATTGTGTATTACAGTACAAAACGCAGACTTTTGTAAATACTTTTAGATTATTTTTAAAATGCAACGCTGCGCGTGTTTTCTTGTAAAACAAAAGATGCCCCGTAATACAGAAGTCGCTCGTGGTGCAGACGTTTGAGTGTGGTTTCAGGCGAGCATAGCATTGCAAACTATTTCAGGCCTTACAAAGCAAAGCAGTTTGTTAGAACAAAGTATTTTGGGCATACATAAGCTTACAAAGAAAATACAAGAAAATACTTCGTAATTTACGAACTATTTCTTCGTTCAACAAAGTAAATTAGTTTGCACGTAAAGTTGTGTATGCTCGAAGTACTTCGTAAGGTTTTAAGGGTGCACGCACCGCGCCGTGAACTGCCGGTGCAGGTGGACGAACAGCTCCCCGCGGCGCGGCAGGTCCACGTACTCGTCGTCGTCGCTGCCCGCCGGGTACACGACGTGCCACTTCCAGTGGAACACGTGGAAGTGGACGTCCTCGCGGAAGTACCACAGGACGGCCTCGTCGTCCTTCGCCAGGTTCCTCACCACGGGCACCGCCACCTGCAAAATCAAGAGCAGCGTGTCCAATTCATGAGAAAACGACTCTATAAACTCAATAAATATTTGTGCACACTGTTCTAAGCAGTGTGGCTGCGAAGCACACTGTTTCTGTATGCCTAGGACCCCTGCAGTCTCCGTCAGGCACGCTGTTCTAGCGCGCGCAGGCACACAGTTTAAAAGAGAGTGCATACATGCACACATATAAAATAGTGCGCTATGCACACACGTACGTGTACTTGCGAAAGTGCGCAAATACTTGCGTTTGCAGAGCGGTTAGATGCATGGAAAAGAATACTTTAGGCAATCATCTCGACAAGTTGGGGTGATTTTTTTCGAGAGGCTAAATGTGATATACGCAATCGAAAATCCGGTACTCGCAACCAAAAACTGCTAGCCAGGATCGAACTGCTTTAAGAGGACAACCAAAGCTGAGGTGTGTTATCCTCTTAGAAGTGTCAGTTCGTAGCTACCAGGTGTTGGATGAAGGTACAGTATTTTCGATTGCACTTATCAATTTCAGATTATCGAAAAAAGTCGATCACCTTAACAGAAACTTATTCCCTTTGGAGTCAAAAATTGGAAACGCCTCAGGCATTGTGCCTTGTTTAAGTTTTAGAAAACTACCTTTGTGGATTGACTAAACATTCAAGAACGCAGCATGAGTTTGTGAAATTTCATGTCTACTTACTCTGTCTTTCTCCGCAACCAGATGCATTTCTTCGCGAGCCTTTGCAAAAAATTCATCGTCCGTATACAGCTCCGGGATGTATTGGGGAAGTTCTGGCAATTGTACGTCCTGCAATGTAAATCCACTCATTTTTTAAATATTTGCCAATACGTTCACCCAAAAAGGCATTTCTTGCCACGATAATATACTTGTTATAAGTGAATTTTCTTGGATGTTCCAAGAAAATTCTTGGTTCAAGGAACGCCTGTTTTTCGTGTTCAACGTCGTTAAAAATATAGTCGAAAATCGAAAAATTTGAGACATTATTCAAGATTTTTTCTCAGACGTACCTTGACGGCCTCGAATGGGGACCGGAGCATAGCAAGCATCAGGGCGTCGAGGATCATCTCAGGGTTGTAGTGTAGTCGCGCCCACACGGCCCTAGCCAGTAGCTCCGGAACTGACTTGCTCTCTGTTCAACAAAGATTTTGCCTCTATTTTACGTTTAGGGAAATTTCCCTATTGCGATAACGAAAGTGTACACTCCAAATTACTATTTATGTTTTTCTGAGCGCTAAAGCACGAAATCTAACATGTACTTAGAAACGCACGAATTTGTGCGCAGCAATGCTCGATTTTGGGCGCGGGTATGCAGAAAATCTTGCCTTGTTGCGCATAAATTTGTGCGCAGTGAAGTGTATGTTAAATTTCGTACGTTGCATGAGCAGAAAAACCTACGAAGTAACTTTAGTGTGGAACAATCATCATATGAAGTGCCGTATCAGCGTGACGAGTGCACTCTCAACCGATTATTTCGTCTGTGACGTATTGAATAGCTTATTAGTACACTGTACACATTAATGTCCGGAATAAACGACGGATCCTTCGGCAAAAAAAAAATTGCCGACGGTTCCTTTGTTAATTTACGAAACTCTACGTATATATACAAAAACCTTCGTAAATTTTATGAAGGACCTCTGTCGATTTTACAATCACAATGGACATTTACGATGCACCTTCGTAAATCTACAAAGATTATTCGTTAATTTACAGGGAACCTTCGTTAATAGACGAAGAACCTTCCTTAAAAAGAACCTTCGTAATTATAGGTCTGGAATTAACGACGAATCCTTCGGCAAAAAATTGCCAACAGTTCCTTCGTTTATTTACGAAGGCCCGTCGTAGATGAACGAAGCCCGTCGTGAATTTACAAAGCCCTATGTAAATTTAAATTTACAACAAACTTTGTAAATTTGCGATTTTTCTTCGTAAATTAACTATAAACCTTCGTAAATTAACGACGAACTTCCCTTGATTTACAAAAGTTCCTGTATGAAAGAAAAATTAACAGTGCACTTTTGGACATTCCCAAAATCCTTCGGCAAAAGATTCCGTCGTAAATTCACAACATAATATTTACACTGCACTTTGCCCTGCACTGTACGCACCTTGGAAGAAGTGCCAGAACCGGATGACGAGCCGCAGGTAGATGGGGGCCGACCTGGTGAAGGGACTGCGGAAGGGAAGAATGCCGTTGATGTCGGCGAAGCGTTCGGCGGGCATCGGGAGGTCCGGCACCTGGATGAGGCGGCGCCCAGGGCCACGCGCTGCCGAGTCGCGAATCTCGGCCGCGAGGCTCACGTACCGCGCCGGCTGCGACACGCAGAGCATTATTGGCCTCCCGTCCGTATTTATCTACTCTGTAGGAGCACTGTAAAAAATTATTGTAAATTTACGAATTTTTTTTTTACAAATTCCCTGTAAAGTAACAATAACATTTCGTTATTTTATGAAATTTATTCGTAGAGGCCGTTTTATGAATTATTCATCACAGAAATCTTCTTAATTTTATGAAATTTGTTTGGAACACCGCCTTATGAAATCGTAGGAACGAAATACATCTCACGTGACTAAATTACAGCAATGTCCAAAAATTACGAAGTTTCCTAATTACAACAAATGCTTGGGTAATTCGTTGCACAAATCGCTTGTAAATACGAGATATGGTGATGCCTTCATCTTTTAAAGATGTTCATAAAACAAACAAACGCTGAAATAAGTAATCTCCATTTAATCAGCGTGACAAGGTAGAACAGAAGCGGTCCACGTAATTTGGAGCGTGTAAAAAGTTTGTGATTTCACAAACTACTGCGTGAAGAATAATTCTTAAAACGTCAAGAAACAAAAAAACGTTGTAAATTTACAGATAATTTGTGCAACGAAATTACCCATAAATTGTTTGTAAATTTACGAACTAATTTTTTACAGTGAGGTATTCTGATCAAATGTAACGTGCGGTAACGTGCAAACTATTTTAGTTTATGTGACAAGTAAATACTTTGTTCGTGCGCATTGTAGTTTCTTCATACGAATAATGAATTTTTAATAAACGTATGATAAGTTTTTTTTTGTTAGGTCATGAATTAAGAAGTATTTCATATCGAAACAACTGTATTCTCACAATAATTCGTTAAATACAACGTACTTTTGTTTGTAAGGTAGCTTATACGGTTTTGAGAGCATAGACTGGCATTCTGTGGACTGTCAACGTTTTGATTGCAAACCGAACATAAATACAAAAACACAAACAAATGCAAAAAATACAAAAACAAAACAAAAATTGTTTAAAGGATTTGCAAACATGTTCAGACAGAACACGTGCGGGCACCTATTCTATTCCATTAGAGGTCAAAAACGCCTGTAGGTTGGCATGGCAACACAGCAGAAATCGGATCCATTACTGCATAGTTGGGCATTGCACATAAAATTGTACAGTGAGTCACCCCTCGACCAGACTCCGGTGATTAGAAAATGGTAGCACTAGTGAGAAATATATTTCGAAAGATCCTTAAAAAAAATGAATCTTAACGACTTACAACATTTCGAGGGGTTCCATTCAAAAGATCTTATCTGGGCGTTCCACTCAAAATGATCTTATCTGAAACTCAGGAGAACTTCTCCAAGTTTGATCATTTGGAACGGATACGAGAGTAAGTGGAACATATTTCTGCATGCAAAATCGGTTTCTTCGATATTTCATCTTCAAGTTTAAGTGGATTAACTTACATCTCAAATTATATAGATTTGTGAGTGAAATTCGCCTGCGCTGCGTTTCAGTTTGAATAGGACTGTTGCCGTCGATGTACTGTCATAAACGTGAATGAATGCATGAGATAGAAACGATTTGAAAAGTATGCCTCTCGATGCGATGCTGGGGAAGCGGGGTACGTCACTTCTAAAACAGGTGTACACTGATTAGTAAGTAGGCTGAATCATTTCCTCTGTGATTAGATTCGAGATCTCGCGAGTAAGGTTCCGAACATGGTGCAAAGGTGGCAAATTGACGTGTGAATTGGCTGTGACTGAGCATTGAAGTCAAGGGTCTGACTAGACGTAATGTGAACGCTGACAATATATGTCAGTGAAGGGGGCATACTCCAAATGCAAGGTTTCCGTAAAAGGGCCAACAAAAGAAGACAAAATAAGAAAAATTCTAAAGTTGGGCAGGACAGTAAACAAAACGAAGAACCATGCTGGCGAAGTGTTTGTCCGATATCAGCGAGCATGTCCTAAGAATGTCCTAAAAGACGCATTATCACTGACCACTTCCAGCACGGCGCAAATAGCTCTACTTGAGTAGTGACATGGTGAAAGCGAACGAGGCAAGATGTTAAAGCTTTACCAAATAGCTGACTGGCACGTCGAATGCAACATTGCGGTCGTGGCCCCGCAAGGTGAAGATGGGCTCCGCAGGTCTGTGGAACACGTAAAGGAGGTCGCTGGCCGAAGGAGCATGGCGCGTCGCCGCCTCAGCGTCCCTGCCACAGTGAAAAGCCTACTTTCAGACCCCGGCACGAAACACATCTTTCGTTTGGTCCACACCCTCATCCTTCAATGAAGTTTGTTCAACAAATAGAAACGGCTGATGTGCTCATTGCACGAACGTCAATGTGTTACTAAATCCTCCTTTACAGGAGGTAACTTCAGTGTGTACTCAACGCTGGCCTTAGCTCTTGCTTTTTTCTCCAAATTCGACTTGGACCACGATAACGGACTAAACATGAGCGTAGTCCACTTCAAGGTCAAGACTTTGATAATGAAAACCCTCTACAAAATAAAACCTAGAAACTTTTGGAAATTTTCAGTCATTACTCATGTTTGAAATACAAACTAATATCCACATCCGCAGTTTGTTTCCTTTTAGGTTTCCCCTCAAGCCGTTCTCAATTCCACATGAAAAAACTATTTATCTTGAGCTATCTCCTTCTTTTGCTTTATGCCGCTTTATGCACTATCAGACGTACTGAGTTTTTCTGTTAGTTCAGCAGACTCGTTTTACAGTAGATTCATAAACATCCTGAGTAGCCTTTCGTTCAAAACTTTTTTTCTAACAAAGTCCATGAGGACTTCGGTTCAGTTACATCCATTTTCCGATGAAATTTAGACCGTAACAGGGGTTGGGTTGGAGTTATACCCCCAATCCATGTAGGTTTTTTTTATTGAACTGCATTATAACCCATTCGAAATAAAAAAGAAAATGGAAAATAAATGGCATATACTCTTCTTCCTCTTCCTGAATCGAAAATCACTCCACATCGAAATGCTACTTTCAAGCATAATTATTTGGTCTTTGAGTGCTTGCAAGGACGCCCAGTGTGTAGAACACGCAACGTTAATTTCACTTGCCTTCTGGCCAAGTTATTTTCCTGAAACATACCCAGACGTCGATTCCAAATGTCGAAGCAGGTAAAAGACTCCCGCTCCAAGAGCTGCTCCAGCGCACAGAGTGGCTACAACGCCAACCACCAGCCCTGTGAAAAGCAAGCATTTCGGAACGTCAGTGCGTAAAAAAGGAACTCCTACACTGAAATTATTCGGAGGGTGGGACATCTTACCAATTTTCGGCAATACGAGTATCACCGTAAAAGAAAATCAAATGTATCACCGAAAAAGGACGATCGAGGTCAGATATCAGCGGGACTGGTCCATGTTTTCCGCGGCGATATATCACCCTTTAACGGTGATACAGTGGGTAAAAGTAAGGTCATCACCCTTTTTTCGGTATTACATCGAAATATCGCCCTTGTACTCTCTCATCCGTTTACTGACTATTTCTCATTAGCAGACGTATTTCTGTAAGCAACCATAATACTTAGCATTTAGTTCTTAAATACTTAAAAAGTTCTTTGTAATTTGCTAAGAAAACGGTAATACCAGTACAGTAATTAGTAATTGCTAAGTAATACTGACAAAAAATACTTAGTATTATGGTTGCTTACAGAAATGCGTCTGCTGATGAGAAATAGTCAGTAAACGGCTGAGAGTGTAGTCATACATTTTAGTATCACCCTTTTTCAGTCAGATAGTCATGTCCCCCCCCCCCCACACACACAAACAAACAAACAAACAAACAAAAGAAAAGAAAAAAGAAAGTAGCACCATTTCATTTTCAGTGCACGCTGCTGGCTTTAACTAGCCAAACCTCCTTAATTTTTTCACTGCGCAACATGAGTGTGGTCGTTTATTCTCGACTTCTTGCTGATCACTTCGACAAGATGAATGAGATTGGCTGACGCCATCTCATAACCCGCTTAAGCCTCCAGAAGGATGCGCGTCAGGCCTGGGAATAGCCCCACGCGTGAGCACAGAACAACTTTCAGGTCGTGGTTTCCTCAGAACAAGAAAACAGCAGCTGCAGCTTACGGCATCGTACGAGCAATCCAAGGTGGCATCTGGTATGAAATAGCCACAAAATGTGAATTGTGCTGGGGCTTCGAACCTCGTAGCCGATGTCCCCGACATTCGCGTAAGCTTCAAGAACGGTGCTAGAGCGGTAAAAACACTGAAAATTACAAGCGCTAAAGCGTTAGTTGGTGCAACGCGTTTGAGATCGGAACGCACTCGTGGAGATCGGAATGCCTCTGCATCGCTCGTGGAATCAATGCCTTCCCGTGCATTTCCGAGGTATTTCGGAAAACAACGCACCTCAGGCGCGATGTGGCCATGGCATTGCCGTATGGTGTGATGTCTCAACACACTGCACCATACATACGCACTTCGTTCATAGCGTTCGAAATCATCCGAGCAGAAGCCTTGCGTGCGTCACAAACTTCGCGGGCGAATCTTCTCAATGTGCTGCTTAAGTTTTGTGAAAACGCACGTCTCTGCGTGTACACAGACTGTGTCCGTCGCCTCTGTGTCCACTGTGAAGTGACGGTGGCAAAACATCCAACACAAGCGTTGCGACATTGATAAAGCGATTGATCGACATGAGTAATTTAAATGTTGATCTCACCTCGGACATCCCGCCGTCGAGGCGCCCCTACAGTGGGGCCCATCAGTGGGGATGACGGCTCTGACCAGCTGGGCCACCATCGATGAAGAACGTGATGGCGAATGATGAATAAATGATCATGATGAAACAAGCACACTCCCGGCGTTCATTTATTTCAGATTGAAGCATCACAGAATGACAAGAAAATCCCTCCTGCGTCGGACTTAGTTTTGCGAGAAAGCGAATGAGTTCACACGTTAATTTACATTCGTTGAATACAAGGTCAAAATTGTCAAATACCACTTTTGTATTTTCACTCGTCATGAATCATGGGGTGAGCGTGTCACAAAGGAGGCGCTTTGAGTGAAACCAAGCCCTCTGACCAAGCCCATGAGCCACCACCTTGTCGAGTACAAATGACAATGACGTTCTGAAATGTTCGGCAATTGTCCTCGAATGACAGGGTTTCATTTCATATGGCGCATCCCAACAGTCAACCTCAACAAATGAAATTGCTAGTTATTTAGACGAATCATACAACTTCCAGCCGTAAGTACGAACGTTAGGAGAAGTTAAGTGAAAAGTTAATGGCAATGCGATGATGCGAGATAAAAAAGCTCGTTGAGTGAACCGCCCCTAAACTCTCAACCAAGAGGGTAAACACTCGCGTAACACGCTGTACACTAAAACCGTGTGTTACGCATATTACACGTGAACGTTATACCATTTAAGAGTCAAATGTGACGAATTTTAACATTTCAATGCCGTAATAAGCGCGTGATACCACCGTAATACAGCGTAGCCTGTACACGATTTCTTGAAGTGTTTACCCCCTCAGTCTCAACCATGTTGGAATTGCAGTCTCCAGGCCAATGAATCGGGGATGTTAAGTGGGAAATTGACTCGTTTTATCGTCGTGCTGGTCTTTCTCTTTTCAGCGCCCGATCTGCAGCTCACCCCATTTGCAGCGGCTTCGTTTGCTCTCGTTGCCCATGCTCACTGCCCTCGGTCACCCACGACTGAGGGCCATTTCACGACCCAGCCGCAATTGCCGATTGACGGCAGCCGAGTCGCCGAAAAGATAGCCCAGCTCGATATATGGGAGGCAGATAGATTGACATGTTGCTCATAACACGCTTGCCCTTAAGATAGGCATCACCTGCGTTCTTATCAGATAAGATCGAAACGCGCAGGAGACCAATTTCGCCGGTAATAGCATATTAAAAGCCACTTTTATCCCCACCAAGACAGTGATAGCAAAAGGATTTGTAAAGTGCTCGGCTGCTACTCGGTCGCCACGTCGCTACTTACAGTCTAGACATGACATCAAATGAGGTGAAATTGATTAAATAACCCTATGTTCCTTGATGTCGGCAAGTCCTTTAATACCCATATTATACGGAATGGTGGGGCATGGCCGATTTCAAGAGTAAATATTTTACTTCACTTGCAGCTCGGTATGGTTTTACTCCAACAACAATTTACAGCATCTATCAGGTTCACGTCGCAGCTCTGTAGATGACTGCAAGCGGCTCCGTTACATTTAAGTCCTTAATCTGCATTTATGTTATAAATTACAGTAAAATAGCCTTCAGTCGAAAATTATTTGAAGAACGTCACGATGCCATGGCATAATTCATATTTAAATTTTCGTGAAACGCTGCACACTGGATGGTGCAACTCATCCTTCACGAAGAGAACCCTTCCTTCAACAAGCTTGAAAGAAGGCTTCAAACGTGGTATGACGATAATCTTCCGCGACAATGCACGCAAGTGGCGTGTCTCATCCTCATTCATCGATGTTGGCCGACCTGAATTGCACCATAATGACGATGTAGGTGACGGTCGCTGATACAAGCTGCAAAACCAAACATTAAACAAGAAGAGGTCATAAAATTACCGAACTCCAAACGCTGCACAATACACTGGTAAAACTAAGTCGTAGTATTACTCTCTGTTTGCAAGCGTCATCAGTTACCGCTTAAAATCAAGCGTAACAGACACATCTGAAAGATTACCCCTATCTAAATGCATAGGGTAATTTCCAGAGTATGCTTCCGTAACGTCTTCAATCGTAACCTTATGCCTGACTTAAGCACAGAGATACGCGCTTTAGTTTAAACCATCACTAAATCAATTAATTGATTTTAAAAAGAGAACACTTTACTGTTCAAAATGATTCTTGAAATTTCTGACAAAATAAGGCAGGGGGTAATGAACAGTTACGTTACATCCAAACAACATGGAATTGAACTTAGTCTGAATTTTCAGTCACGCGTACCAAAATTTATGTCTGGATGGTCTACATATGCTTTTTAGACGTTGCAAGTCCAAGATTTTGGTCGAAGATTCTTTATTTTGCATACTTCTAGTCCGAAAATGAGACTTCTGTCTCACAAAATGAATTTGAAGTTTTAGATTTGTTCATTATGATTAGAAGGGCGGGCCGAAAAGTTGTCGAATCGAACTTTAAAGATTCAGACTCAAATCGAATTCGCACTAAACTAAAACAAATGAGTGCGTTTCAAGACGCATTTTCTGTAATAAAGGAAGGGCATAGAGCAGGAATACAAAAAGATGGAAAATCAAATATTTGATCCTGCTTTGGTATAAAAACAACGCTAAGCGCGCGACTTTCAACCGTTCTCGAGCAATCGATTCGAAGACGAACAACCGTCGATTCGAAATTTCGAATATTCGGGGTCGAAGCAAAGAGATCCGTCCCCGAATCGAATCGCCCCTGATTCGATACCGAACTATTCGCACATCCGCAGCCTCCACATTATGCGGGGGCAAGAGCCGGGTGGTACTGAAATTCCTTTCTCCTGCTTCCTCCTTCTTCGTCTGAATATGGCAAGTACTGCCTTCGCGTATACGCCCGGGCGCAGTGTACCGCGTGGCACATCCACCTAGATCCATGCGTGGGTATGGACGCATCATTTACTGCGAATAGGAATGTACTGTACGCAGTAGAAAAGGTTTCCTTCCATTTGAAAAGAGTGGTACTAGGGGTACGCGCCGTTTAGTGTGGGCGCGTAGTGTGGCTGAGCGATGCGAATTGACATAGTTTGTACCCCTTGGACTTTGCTTGAGTGGCGAAATGTGCATCTTATGGGCTCATTATTGAGTGAACTTTAGACCAGGGGTACAAATGGAAGTGATATTCGTTATCAGCACACCAAAAACTGCTGGGATCAATGTCAAACTCGATTAAAAAATTTTAGTCCAAAATTGGTCAAAATTCGGCTAAATGTGAGTCTGGGAAAAGTTTGAAGGTCATTTTTGAGTTCAGCACATCAAAAACTGCAGGAAGCAATATAAAACTCGACTTGAAAATTTTAGTCCAAAATGACCTAATTTGGGGTGAAAATATAAGTCTGGAGTCGAAATGGAAGTGATTTTCGTTATCAGCACACCAAAAACTGCTGGGATCAACGTCAAACTCGATTTAAAAATTTTGGTCCAAAATTGGTCGAAATTCGGTTAAGTGTGAGTCTGGGAAAATTTTGGAAGTCATTTTTGGGTTCAGCACACCAAAAACTGCAGGAAACAGCATAAAACTCGACTTGAAAATTTTGGTCCAAAATGACCTAATATGGGATGAAAATATAGGTCTGGTGTTAAAATAGAAGTGATTTTCGGTATCAGCAATTAAAAAACTGCAAGAATCAATGTACAATTCAATTAAAAAAATTTGACCCCAAATCGGTATAAATTTTGGATCTGAGGACAATTTAAAGGTCAATATTGAGGACAGCGCACTGAAAACTACAGGGAAACACATAAATCTCAACTTGGAAAGTTTGGCCACAAATTGTGTAGCTGAAGATGAAAATGTAGGATTGGCATTGAAATAAATGTAGTTTTTGTGACTAGTACTCTGAAAACTACATACAATACCTAAGACTCAATTTCTGTATATCGTTACTATTTGTCTTCATGAAGCACCCTCTGTCGTCACCAATTCCCTGATGCCACACCAATGCGAATCCCTCAGTCGAGTAACATTCAATTGCCAGCATTGAATCGCTTAATTGGTTACTCGTATAATTGGGTCACTATTCGAAATCTCTTTTTTCTTAACTGATGAATTCAAAATTTTATAAGTAATATCTATGAAACATTTTGTCATTCTTTCATTGTGAACCAGTGAATAAAACAATATTGATTGGAATACGTTATCACAGTTAATATTAAGAGAGTCGGTTTAGGGTAGGCTGATCTGAACCAGTTAACGGGGACCAATTATTGTCAAATCCAGTGATTCGTCACATAGAGTCCAATGCCAAGGCTACCCAAGGCTTAATGAACCAACATAATTTATCTTACTTAGGTATACAATACTGAGTAGTACCAGTTATATTAACTTCAGTGAAGTTAAAGGAATCGTCTCATTAAATCCATTCACTAATTCACTCACCGCTCAAAACCTGAGTCGTCTCTTTGAAGCCAATATCAATTCAAACTCTATTAGGATTAACACAACCATACATTGATTCTATAAATAAACACATGATAGTACTTTTGCACTCTTGTCAGCTTGCAGCATTTCAATAGATATATTTCTCGAGTCCAAACTAATTTGCTGCTAATTTCAACACAAGTTATTTATGCATTTCCCTGATTTCCTCTACTATGAAATTTTAAAAAAGAGGATGATACTATAGAAAATGAAATAAGTAGATGCCCACAATACAAAAGGTCAAAATAAAAACATTCTTGTTACAATGATCTGTCAAAGTGCACTGACCTGAAGAAGATTCCCCTCTAACGGGGGAGGGGGGCGAGGGGAACGAAAGACGTAAATCATTTTCACTTCCATTCTCCATATTTCGCTGTGTTGATACTCCAAAGGGGTTTTAATCATTCTAGAATGTTTGAAAACTAAGGCCGATCTCATTTCCAAACCCTTCTGCTTTTTATTTTGTTTTATTTGCTGTTTAGCTTCTGTCCCGTATTTGAGAGCCGCAGCCGCAGGTATGAGAAATTGGTAACTGCTGGCTGACTGCTGCCAACCTAACCATGCTAATGACCTGATTCAAAAAGATGTTTTGAATATTTCAAACGATACTAATCAATGATTTGAAACAAACTCGTGTTGGGAGAAACTAAGGGGATGTTAAATGCGAAATATGAGAGCTAAAGACCATGTACTTGCTGAGAATCGTTGGTGAGTACAAACAGACAGACGCACGACCAGTCAGTTTTTGGTGCGCCCAAACACGGCAAGGGCTTCGCTATCGCTCAGCCAAAAACAGGCTACGCGCACCGAGGTAAAGAGTGACCGTCCGAGGGATGTAAAACCACTCAAAGAAATTCTGGCAGGCCACGATGTCACCGTCAGATAAAAAAGGGTCACCTGCAAACAAACCCAGCATGAACAAAGAGCCCTTTTTAGAGCTTCATGAGTTAAATCGCATCTCCTTCACTTGACTGTCGCACAGTTGCCCCAAGCCAAACTCACCGCTCGTAAGCATGGCGGGTCCGAGGCATCTAATGACATCTTGTCCAGCGCTGCGATAACAGGACCGATCATCTGCAACGAGGGAGCAGTAAACAGTCAATGCATAGAGAAAACGTTTTGCGAGAAGACCGACCGCAAAAGCTCACAAATGAAATAAAAGTGCACTGTGGCAAAAACTACACGCGACTTTGTTATACGAAGAAATAGTTCGTAAATTACGAAGTATTTTCTTCGGAGACTTATGTATGCTCATAATACTTTATCATAACAAACTGCTTTCCTTTGTAAGGCTCAAAATAGTTTGTAAGGTTTTCTCACCAGTGTACGGAAAATTTGGTAAAAAAACTTGTGATTTGTCCGTAGCCCTCTGGCTCCATCGCTCCACGTTAGTGCTTGCTTACCCTTTCTGAAGCGATGTGCGCTTCGTTGTTTATGACGTAAAGTAAAACGCCCATGAAACACGAGCCGTTGAGTTCCATGAGAGCAGTCTGTGATTCTCCAGCCTGACTGAAAGATTCGTTCGGAATTGTGCAATTGTGAGGTGAAGAAGTTGAGGCACAGCCGGCAAAGAGCTGGGCCAACATAATACAGTCAAACTCCTCGTTTTGTCCCTCTTCTGGGTCCTTCGTTTTGTCCCGGAGTCATCCCCACCACTGGCGCGGGTCGCGCCCCGCCGGCCGATGCCTGCCGTCGCTGGCCGGCCAGGTAGGGATTAGGGCGGCCTAATCCACATCGGCCGGCCTCGGTCCTTCGTTTTGTCCGCAGCAACTCCCGGGTAGAGGGACAAAACGAGGAGTTTGACTGTAGCAAGTGCACTGTGAAACCAAACGTGGACAAGTCCACACTTCCTGGTGTGGAGTAAGTCTCCACACTTGGAAGTGCAGAGTGTGCAGCCTCCACACTTCAAGCGTGGAGTAGCTCACAGAGCCCCTACACTGCTATTCAACGAATGTGACGTCACATTCGTTAGAATGTGAATTTTGTCACGTTCGTTTGAATGTGATGTCACATTCGTTTGAAGGTGACACGGCCACCACACTGTGCGAAAAAACCACAGTGAATCCCGTTAATTTTTTTGCCGGGATTTACTGTAGTTCAGAACACAGGATTTACCGTGCCTGGCTACAGTATCTACTGTACCTGGTACAGGATATTCCGTACTCCACCCCTGTGGTACAGTAAATCCCGTACAAAGTACAGTAGATCCTGTTAAAAAAGTACAGTAAATCCTGTACTCTGAACTACAGTGACAGCTGTACTAATCACTACAGGATTTACTGTGATTTTTTCCCACAGTGCATGCGGCCGTCTGATGCGGGTGTCACATTCGTTTGAGCGCGGATCAACATTCAAACAAATGTGACATCACATTCAAACGAACGTGACAAAATTCGTATTCAAACGAATGTGACGTCACATTCGTTGAATAACAGTGTATCTCTTGGTGCAAACGTTGACGACTCTACGTTTGAAGCGTGGAGGCTGCAAACTCTGCACATCCAAGTGTGGAGACTGAAAATTCCACTCCTCCACATTTCAAACGTGGAGTTGTCCACGTTTGGTTTCACAGTGATAGCAAATGAATTCCACCACACTGTGCGAAAAAACAACAGTGAATCCCGTTAATTTTTGTGCCGGGATTTACTGTAGTTCAGAATACAGGATTTACCGTGCCTGACTACAGTATCTACTGTAGTTGCTACAGGATATTCCGTACTTCACTCCTGTGGTACAGTAAACCCCGTACAAAGTACAGTAGATCCTGTTAAAAAAGTACAGTAAATCCTGTACTCTGAACTACAGTGACAGCTGTACTAATCACTACAGGATTTACTGTGATTTTTTCCCACAGTGCAGATAATTCTAATTTCCAGGAACACATATTTTAAAAGACTCAATTCAAGATCGTTTTCAACGTAATTGTTCACGCTAGAACAGCATTACGCACGCATCATCTGGCAAACCCCATAAAATGAGTCCAACAGTTTGATATTGCTGTGAAAAGTTCCATACTTACTAAAGCAATCAAACGACTTACCTGAAAGCATAACTCATATACACGGACAGCACCATATTCATCAATAAGTATAGAACCAGGAAAACGTCGAGGAACCGAGTGTTGGGTGCACTGTTGAAGAGTGTACGCAAACGGACGTACAGCCGTCTTGCCGATTGGACGCTCTCTGCGTCATTCGCTGGGAGCTGAGGGCAAACAGATGGTGCCGAGTAAACATTTCTTGTGATTTCCTGCACAAATATTTCGCAGCTGCTGGAAATAAAAGAATTATGTATACACAGTGAGTAACGTTGGGAATTGAATTTGAGCCTAAGTTACCCCGTGCACATTTTTTTTTATCGCTACACTTTTACTTGGGAAATTTAAAAAGAAACTGGTAAACTTTACACTACAAACTGAATTAAGCATGCTCTCAGGTGCACACTTGCAAGTTCACATGTGCATGCTTCGCCAGGTACGGTCAGTGCGGGAAAAAACTGGACAGGGGAAGAACTGAACACCTCATATTTTACTTAAATGCCGCATGCACCGGCTTAAGGCGGAAGATCACGCCGCGCACGAAACTAAAATCCGCCAGACTGCGCCACCGTCTGCAGCCGAGGGACGGGCTGGCTGCTCTGCCGGGCGGCACGTGCTGCCTGCGTAGCGTTCCGGCCGATACAGTTCACCTGCTGTCACTATTCCCCAAACAATGGCGAAGTCATTGCAGTTTACTTTCCTGTCCGCTCGCCCGGGGCGGGGCGGGGTGGGCGGGGAGCCTCAGGTAGTCCGGCTAGCCCAGCGCGGTGCACGCGGCCGGCTGCGGCCGGCCTGCCGGCGTCTACCTGGCCGCCGGGGTGCGTCAGCCCCGCCGCATGTGTCGCCGCATTGTCTTTGTCGCACTGGCAGCAGCAAGTGGGAAAGACAGAGACGGACAATGACACCGCCGGGACTAGCTTCCACTACGCCACCCAGGGAAACCCGCCAGCCCAGCGGAGAGCCTGGCGAGATGTCCGTCGGCCTCCAGCGGGCTCCAGTCGGCGGGCAGGAAATTTTACAAGTTTAGAGATTTGGGTCAAAAATTGTGTATTTTTGTATACTATCCCAAAGCGCGTTTCAAGAAACGCTGATTATTTCTATACCTATTTCCCCGAGATGGATTTGGGTGAAGGAGATGGTGCTTTACTTGTTTTCGGCGCTATATGAGTTGCGCGGACATAGACAGTTCACAGTCCGCTCCACAGTTTTCACTGAAATTCGACAGGGGCGTTACAAGGCGCTTGGCGGAGGGGGTGGTATATTTTATTTCAGGTTCAGACGTCTTGTCTCTTTTTGGTGAGAGGTCAAAGTGTTGCATGGAGCCCTGCGCTGTGCTTGTAAAGGTACACAGGTAGCCAACGAATGTGACATCACATTCGTTTGAACGTGAAAACTACGATGTCAGATTGAACGTGACAAACAGAGAAAATTCATACTCAAACGAATGTGACACGCCGCACCGCTTTGTCACATTACTTCGGGTGTGACACGAAATCAGCAGGCAAACTGTCACATTAAAACGAATGTGACACATGGTACCCATTGACATACATCGTGTCACATCCAAACGAATGTGACACCCATATGCTGTCACGTTCGTTTGGATGTGACATGCCCTAATTGTCACATTCAAACGAACGTGACACGCCCCGGACACGCCATAAGAGTCAGGTTATGGCGTGTCACGTTCAATTGAATGTGACAATTCGGGCATGTCACATTCAAACGAACGTGACAGCATATGGGTGTCACATTCGTTTGGATGTGACACGATGTATGTCAATGGGTACCATGTGTCACATTCGTTTTAATGTGACAGTTTGCCTGCTGATTTCGTGTCACACCCGAAGTAATGTGACAAAGCGGTGCGGCGTGTCACATTCGTTTGAGTATGAATTTTCTCTGTTTGTCACGTTCAAACTGACATCGCCGTTTTCACGTTCAAACGAATGTGATGTCACATTCCTTGGCTACCAGTGTATCATCTGCTAAAAAAAAATACATGATGTAGCGCTTTACATTCAAATCCTTGCGTGACACTGAAATAAATATTAAAAAATGAGAGTTAAAAAATGGTACAATTCTTTTGGACCGGGCTTCGGGGGACACTCTGACCGCCCATCAAGTGGTGACTAGACATTTGACCGAATAGTGAAATACATACAACCCCCCTCCGCCAATAGCCATAACGCCCCTACCGAATTTCCCTCGAAAAATTCAGATTCAATTTTGAACCGTATGTCCGCGCAAGTGGTAAGAACCAGCGTGGTACTCAAGTGGAGCAGTTCCCTGCATCCACTCATCTGGGAGAAATAAATGTGATGTCCTGTCTTGAAACGCGCTTTAAAATGCGCCAAATGTTTTTAAACTCAAATCTCAAAATTAGGAAAATTTTAGACCAATGATGCAGCATGGTGCCGGGCGAAGCTGGCGAGTGTCGGCGACTGGTGGTGCTAACGCGGCCGCGGATAAAATTAAAAATTTTCATGACGCATCTCGTGTTGTTGAGATACGGTCTGTTGGCGCAAGTGCGACCAGGGAATTCCATCTGAGAGCTCGGAGCGACTCGCATTGGCTTCGCCGGACTTCCCTGGCCGCCATGGAGTCCAAGGCTGCGCGCCACGGGCCGACAGACCGTCACCATGTGGGCCCCTAAAGAGTCAGCAAAAATTAGATCACACCATCCTCTCTGCTCACTGTTCCTCTACGGCCCTGTCAAATTTCAGCCTAAAATTCCAAGCAGTGCCTGAATGGTCGATGTCCGCGCGAAACTGCGCGTCACATTTCTTCCCTGCGGCGGCTGGTACTGCTGCACGCACGATTCGAATCGGCGCGCGAGCGCGCCAAAGCTCCGAGCGGCCGCGTCCGGGAGGGCAGCATTCCGTCCTCCCCGCACTCCCTCGTTCCGCGCAAGGAGCGAGCGACGTGCTGGCCTGCCAGGCAGCCAGCCTGGACGCGGCCGCCGGCCGATCGGTCTGTCTGCCTGCAGCGCGCTGCAGCGGCACCCTGGCCGTGCCGAGCGCAGCCAAGCCGTCGCCTGCCCCCCGACCCCCGCCACCACCCCCCGTGCTGTGCGGGCGGGTATCAAAGATATCCAGGAAAGTCGGGGGCTCCGGAGTGCTAGTGTTTGCGCGGACATAGACCACTTTCGCTCCGCTCGGAATTTTGCGATGAAACTTGGTGGCTGCATCGAGCATTAGTTTACGCAGGGAATGACGTATTTTATTTTCTCCTGAGGCTTCAGGGCGCTTTGCAGCGTAAGATCAAAACACAGAGCGATTTTCAAGGTTTTTCAAGGGCTCTGCAGGGCGAAATAGGCCCTTCCGCGAAATATAAAATATGTCATTCCCTAGAGGAGGTCAAGACGAACCGGGGGATACCTCAAAAATGCCACAAATGTGCAGATTCTAAGAGTGGTCTATGTCCGCGTAAGTGAATTTTCACAACTTTAACAAGCTTTTCCGGAAAAACTAAAAACTTTTTCGAGAAACCGATACCAGGGCGTTACTCAGCGAGACCTTTCAAATGGTGTATTCACCTAAAAAAATTTTGATCGTGATCTTCCGCCTTAACAACTATCATATAATGAACCGCTCACTACAAATCCAAAGGTCAGACTTCTCGCCACTCCAGAGGCGAGACTTCAAAGTCTCGCCAAGTTATGGTCAGACACAAAAGTCTCGCCATTTTTTGGTGAGACTTATGTCTTTGACCGTTTTGTGGCGAGACTTTTTTGTCTGACCAAATTTTGGCGAGACTTTTGTGTCTGACCAAAACTTGGCGCGGCTTTAATGTCTCGCCATATTTTGGCGCGAAGTCTTTCCATCCAATTTGCAGTGCTGATGCCGCGGAACAACTTTAAATGGTTAGGTATTTCAAGTAAAATATCGGCTGTTCAGTTCTTCCTCCCCTGTCCAGTTTTTCCCCGCAATGACCCTACACACTTACATACACTTGCATACTTGGTCAAGTATGTGTGTTCTAGCACCCATTTCTATGGTGACAAGTACACACCCACAAAGTTAATGCGTACTGATTTCAGACTGCAGTTTGAGATGACCCCGAAACGTAAACTAACAGACAACAAAAGTTAAGTTCTATCTACAACGTACCAAAAGCCAGCGAAGCAAAAGACCTAAAGTTGTGAGTTACAATACAACACTCAGGAACATTTCAAGTGTTAAGGGAGCTTAAGAGCTCTCTTAAGCTGTCTTATCAAGGCAGAGTGAAGCAGCCTCCAGAGTTTTCAAAAAAGCGTTCCAGACAACGTGACGACCTCCACTCAGACCACACTGAGAATCCGAACGCGATGAGTACAGCGTCAATCGGTGCAAATGTTTTCGCGTTGCACATGAAGTGCAATGCCTTCCTATTCCCATGAATTTGCATAGGGCATTTCCGAAACGCATTGCACGTAAGGTGCAATATGGCTAAGGCATTGCACGTTTGGTGCGATACCTCAGTGCATTGCACCATACGTGCTATACTCATAGCGTTTATTGGCTGAGCGATAGCGAAGCCTGTTACTCCAGTGCGGTTGAAAAGTTTTGTCTGTCTGTCTGTGTGTGTGTCTGTGTGTGTGTGTACACTACTCCTCCTGAACGGCTCGGCCGATCTGGCTGAGATTTTGCAGGGTTATTAGGTATGTTCTTGGCTCGGCACACGCGAAATTTCACCATCCTAGCTCAACTGGTTCAGTTTTTATAGCCGAAAAACACCTAAAAAACGGCGAAAAATCGAGTTTTCTGTCGGTAGACCTCTCCTGTCTGGATGAAAGGGGGGTCTGGGGGCGGAGCCCCCTAGCCACGACAAGTTGAAAAGTTACAAGGGTCAAGATCGTGTAATTTGTAGATGAAGCACCTCTATGTAGAATGAAGGGGGTCTTGGGAGCGGAGCCCCCCAGCATGCAACAGTTCAGAAGTAACTAATGATGGAGAAGCATTGTCTGCCGAAGGCAGCCTAGCGCCGCAGGCCAAGGTAGGTACGCCAGGCGCGGATTGGAGAAACAGGCAGCGACACATCGCGAAGCCTGTTACGACAAGACGCGGTCTGGCGTAAACCTACCTTGTGTAATGTTAGGACGTTTTTGGCAAATGAACGATACCTGTCAAAAATATTACTGTAACTCTGACAGAAATCCGTCGTACAAAAGCTTATCATATTTTGAAGCTATGTAACCCATTATAAATCACGAATGTTTGTGTTCAGTTCGTTTGAACGTGAATGAAACCCTTCACTGAAAATCTATCGGCGTGACTTCGCCGCTGCAGGGGCGTGAATTAAGTGTCACGCCATTAAACGGGATGACAGAAAAGTCACGCCATAAATCGGCGTGAATTTCTTGTCATGCTGCTTTTTGGCGTGACTTGTCTCATAAAGCGCGTTGTCATTCACGCCAAATGAGGGTCTGACTCACATGTCACGCGGTTTTCGGCGTAAATTTCGTATCACTCCAATTTTTGGCGTGACTTTTTGTCACGCCATAATTTGGTCATGTGTCCGACCATTACGTTTTCAGTGTTCATTATTACTCGTTTCTCTTCGAAACGCGAGTGTTTCTAACAAAACTTAAGTGAGCGATTTGCATCACGGCTAAGAGGTCCTATTTTTCATACAAACCTGAGACAGGTACTTGCCGAAGTCGCCTGCTGCAACACCCAACTGGTATGCGTATGTTCCGAGGCAGAATGACAAGG